TCTGGGCTCTATATTCTGTTCCATTGATCTATATGTCTGTTTTTGTGCCAGTACCATACTGTCTTGATGATGACAGCTTTGTAATAGAGCTTGAAGTCCAGAATTGTGATGCCACCAGCTTTGCTTTTCTTTTTCAACATCCTTTGGCTGTTCGGGGTCTATTCTGGTTCCGTACAAATTTTAGAATTATTTGTTCCATTTCTTTGAAAAAAGTGGATGGTATTTTGATAGGGATTGCATTAAATGTGTAGATTGCTCTAGGTAGCATTGACATCTTCACAGTATTTGTTCTTCCAATCCATGAGCATGGAACGTTTTTCCATTTCTTTGTTTCTTCCTCAATTTCTTTCATGAGTATTTTATGGTTTTCTGAATACAGATTCTTTGCCTCTTTGGTTAGATTTATTCCTAGGTGTCTTATGGTTTTGGGTGCAATTGTAAATGGGACCGACTCCTTAATTTCTCTCTCTTCTGTCTTGTTGTTTTTGTATATAAATGCCACTGATTTCTGTGCATTGATTTTATATCCTGCCACTTTACTGAATTCCTGTATGAGTTCTAGCACTTTTGGGGTGGAGACTTTTGGGTTTTCCACATAAAGTATCATATCATCTGCAAAGAGTAAGAGTTTGACTTCTTTTTTGCTAATTTGGATGCCTTTTATTTCTTTTTTTTGTCTGATTGCTGTCACTAGGAATTCTAGTACTGTGTTGAATAGCTGTGGTGATAGTGGACATCCCTGCCGTGTTTCTGACCTTAGAGGGAAAGCACTCTGTTTTTCCCCACTGAGAATGGTAATCGCTGTGGGTTTTTCATAGATGGCTTTTATGATATTGAGGTATGTGCCCTCTATCCCTATACTCTGAAGAGTTTTGATCAAGAAAGGGTGCTGTACTTCATCAAATGCTGTTTCTCCATCCATTGAGAGGATCATATGGTTCCTGTTCTTTCTTTATTAATGTATTGTATCACATTGATTGATTTGTGGATTTTGAACCAGTCTTGCAGCCCAGGAATAAATCCCACTTGGTCATGGTGAATAATCCTTTTAATTACTGCTGGATCCTGTTGGCTAGTATTTTGGTGAGAATTTTTGCATCCATGTTTATCAAGGATATTGGTCTAATTCTCCTTTTTGATGGGGTCTTTGTCTGGTTTTGGGATCAAGGTAATGCTGGCCTTGTAAAATGAGTTTGGAAGTTTTCCTTCCATTTCTATTTTTTGGAACAGTTTCAGAAGAATAGGTATTAATTCTTCTTTAAATGTTTGGTAGAATTCCGTTTGTTGGGAGATTTTTGTGTTTTGTTTTGTTTTGTTTTTTAAAGATTTTGTTTGTTTGACAGAGAGAGACACAGCAAAAGAGGGAACACAAGGAGGGGGAGTGGGAGAGGGAGAAACAGGCTTCCCGTGGAGCAGGGAGCCCGATGTGGGGCTCGATCCCAGGACCCCAGGATCATGACCTGAGCCGAAGGCAGACGCCTAATGACTGAGCCACCCAGGTGCCCCTGTTGGGAGATTTTTGATTACTGCTTCAATTTCCTTAGTGGTTATGGGTCTGTTCAGGTTTTCCATTTCTTCCTGCATCAGTTTTGGTAGTTGATACATCTCTAGGAATGCACCCATTTCTTCCAGGTTATCTAATTTGCTGGCATAGAGTTGCTCATAATATGTTCTTATAATTGTTTGTATTTCTTTGGTGTTGGTTGTGATCTCTCCTCTTTCATTCATGATTTTGTTGATTTGGGTCATTTCTCTTTTCTTTTTGATAAGTCTGGCCAGGGGTTTATCAATCTTGTTAATTCTTTCAAAGAACCAGCTCCTAGTTTCGTTGATCTGTTCTACTGTTCTTTTGGTTTCTATTTCATTGATTTCTGCTCGGATCTTTTTTCTTTCTCTTTTCCTGCTGGGTTTAGGCTTTATTTGCTGTTCTTTCTCCAGCTCCTTTAGGTGTAGGGTTAGGTTGTGTATTTGAGACCTTTCTTGTTTCTTGAGAAAGCCTTGTATTGCTATATACTTTCCTCTTAGGACCACCTTGGGTGCATCCCAAAGATTTTGAACCGTTGTGTTTTCATTTTCATTGGTTTCCATGAATTTTTTTTTTTAATTCTTCTTTAATTTCCTGGCTGACCCATTCATTCTTTAGTAGGATGCTCTTTAGCCTCCATGTATTTGAGTTCTTTCCGACTTTCCTCTTGTGACTGAGTTCTAGTTTCAAAGCACTGTGGTGTGAAAATATGCAGGGAATGATCCCAGTCTTTTGGTACCAGTTGAGACCTGATTTGTGATGTAGGTTGTGATCTATTCTGGAGAATGTTCCATGGGCACTAGAGAAGAATGTGTATTCTGTTGCTTTGGGATGGAATGTTCTGAATATATCTGTGAAGTCCATCTGGTTCAGTATGTCATTTAAAGCCTTTATTTCCTGTTGATCTTTTGCTTAGATGATATGTCCATTTCAGTGAAGGGGGAGTGTTAAAGTCCCCTGCTTTTATTGTATTGTTGTCGATGTGTTTCTTTGCTTCTGTTATTAATTGGCTTATATAATTGACTCCTCCCATGTTAGGAGCATAGATATTTACAGTTGTTAGATTTCTTGTTGGATAGACCCTTTAAGTAGGATATAGTGTCCTTCCTCGTCTCTTATTATAGTGTTTGGTTTAAAATCTAATTTGTCTGATATAAGGATTGCCACCCCAGCTTTCTTCTGATGTCCATTAACATGGTACGTGGTTTTCCAGCCCCTCACTTTCAATCTGGAGGTGTCTTTGGGTCTAAAATGTGTCTCTTGCAGACAACATATAGATGGGCCTTGTTTTTTTATCCAATCTGATACCCTCTGTTTTTGATTGGGGCATTTAGCCCATTTACATTCAGGGTAACTATTGAAAGATATGAATTTAGTACCATTGTATTGCCTGTAAGGTGACTGTTACTGTGTATTGTCTGTGTTCCTTTCTGGTATATGTTACTTTTAGGCTCTCTCTTTGCTTAGAGGACTCCTTTCAATATTTCTTGTTGGGCTGGTTTGGTGTTTGCAAATTCTTTTAGTTTTTGTTGTCCTGGAAGCTTTTGATCTCTCCTTCTATTTTCAGTGACAGCCTAGCTGGATGTAGTATTCTTGGCTGCATATTTTTCTCATTTAGTGCTCTGAATATATCATGCCACTCCTTTCTGGCCTTCCAGGTCTCTGTGGATAGGTTTGCTGTCAATTTAATGTTTCTGTCATTGTAGGTTACAGACCTCTTGTCCCAAGCTGCTTTCAGGATTTTCTCTTTGTCTCGAAACTTGTAAGGTTTACTATTAGATGTCGGGATGTTGACCTATTTTTATTGGTTTTGAGGGAGGTTCTCTGTGCCTCCTTTTTTTGTATTTGACAGAGAGAAATGGTGAGAGAGGGAACACAAGCATGGGGAGTGGGAGAGGGAGAAGCAGGACTCCCGCGGAGCAGGGAGCCTCATGTGGGGTTCCATCCCAGTACCCTCGGATCATGACCTGAGCCGAAGGCAGACGCTTAACAACTGAGCCACCCAGGCGCCCCAGTGCCTCCTGGATTTTGATGCCTGTTTCCTTCCAGGGAAGTTCTCCACCATAATTTGCTCCAGTATACCTTCTGCCCCCCGTCTCTTCGTTCTTCTTCTGGGATCCCAATTCTAATATTGTTTCATCTTATCATATCACTTACCTCTCAAATTCTGCCCTTGTGATCCAGTAGTTGTTTATCTCTCTTTTTCTCAGCTTCTTTATTCTCCATCAATTGGTCTTCTATATCACTAATTCTCTCTTCTGCCTCATTTATCCTAACAGAGCCTCCATTTTTTATTGCACCTCATTAATAGCCTTTTTGATTTCAACTTGGTTAGATTTTAGGTCTTTTATTTCTCCAGAAAGTGTTTCTCTAATATCTTCCATGCCTTTTTCAGGCCCAGCTAGTATCTTTATAATCGTTATTCTGAAGTCTAGTTCCAACATCTTACTAATGTCCGTATTGATTAGGTCCCTGGCAGTCAGTACTGCCTCTTGTTCTTTTTTTTTGAGGTGAGTTTTTCCATCTTGTTGTTTGTCCAGAGAACAGATGAATGAGAGAACAAAATACTAACAGGGTAACAACGACCCCCAAAAAATATACACTAACCAAATCAGAAGAGACCTGAAACCGGGGGAAAAGAAAGGGAAAGAAAGAAAAAAAAAAAAAAGAATGTGGTCAAATATCATCAGGCTAGTGAATAAGATCAGTGCCACACACTAGATTTTGGGCATATTTTGGTCTGTTAGAAGAAAGTGCCTCCCAAAATTTTAAAGAAAGAAAAACTTATATATGTACAAAAATAAGGGTAAATACGATGAATGGATGGAATATGACTGTAAAGATGAAAATTATAAAAGATTTTATAAAAGGTATTGATAAGATGTTTGGAAAAAGAAAGAAGAGAAATTTAAAAAAAATAAAAGGGAGAGAATGTGATCAGGCCGGAGACTAGAACAAAGCCATACACTAGAGATTTAGGGTATATTTTGGTCTGTCAGAAGAAACTGTATCCCAAATTTTTAAAGAGAGAACAACTTATATATATACCAAAAATAAGGTTAGCTACAATGAAGGGATAGAACATGACTCTAAAAACGAAAAATAAAAAAAAAAATTTTAAAAAGGAATTGAGAAGTTGTTGGTTGAAAAAGGGAAAAAGAAAAATTCAAAAAGAATATAAAAAGAAAATTAAAAATTTAGCTTTGAAAGACTAAAGAATCATGGGGAAAAAGGCCATGAATTCTATGTGTAGTATTCCCTTAGTGCTGGAGTTCTGCCGTTCTCATTGTGATCGGTAAATGGTCTTGGCTGGCTGTTCTTGCTGATCTTCTGGGGGCGGGGCCTGTTGCAGTGATTCTCAGATGTCTTTGTCAGAGGCGGAATTGCCCCACCCTTGCCGGGCCGGGCTAAGTAATCTGCTCGCGGGTTTGCTCTCGATAGCTTTTGTTCCCTGCAAGCTTTCAGTACAGCGTTGGAGGAGGAGAGTGAAAATGGTGGCCTCCCAATCTCCGGCCCGGAGGAGCCGAGAACTCAGGTCCCCACTCCTCAGTGAGCCCCCAGAGAAAATCAGTCAATCACTCCCATCTCCCTGGTCTCTGGCGGCACTCTGTGCTCACCCGGCCACTGTCTCTGGCACCCGACACCGTTTGGAGTCTCCAAACCCAGCAGATTGCTGTGGTGCATTCCCACACCACTTTTCCCGGGGGGGGAAGGGGAGTCTCCCCAGATCTGCCGCTTGTTGGGTCCCTGCTGTAAGAGCAGTGGCCCTACTGTGCCACGGATCACGGTTTATGGCAACCCTGAGCTGAGAGCCCACTCCTCGGTTCCATCTTTGCAGCCAGTTTCCTGGCTCGATACCGGGGAGCTCTGCCGCACTCAGGTGCCCCCGGTCTTTTTGTGACTCCATGGGTCCTGAGACCACACTGTCCAAGTGAGGGTTCCATCTCCCACTTAGCCACTGGAGCAACGTCCCTCAGCAGAGCAGTCTTCTAGAAGTTCCGATTTTGTGCTCTGCTGCTCTATCACTTGCCGATAGGGGCTGATGGAGGCTCCCTTCCCCCGTGGTCTGTCTTCCTGTATATCACCTCTGATTCACTTCTCTGCACCTCCTACCTTCCAGAAAGTGGTCGCTTTTCTGTTCAGAGAGTTGCTGCTATTCTTTTCTTCGATCTCCTGTTTAGTTCATAGGTGTTCAGAATGGCTTGATACCTATATAGCTGAATTCCTGGGACCAGACGAAATTTATGTCTCCTACTCCTCCACCATCTTGCTCCTCCAGGGCAATATTTTCTTATCACTGATCTAAGATTGTTAGACCTCCCCACCATCCCACAAAATAAAAGCAGTATGTATTTTTGATGTTGTGCTCAAAGGAAAGGATGTTTTCCTGAGTTAAGACTTAAGACTGTTTCCTTACCCATCTCAAAGAAGTGTCTGACCTTAGGAAGGCATACATACGGTGTCTTGAAAATGCTTCCTAGTACATTTCCTTTTCACAGCAAAGCTGCTCAATAGACTTTTATTCGCACCCTACCTGGCATTGTTTTTAAGTATTAATTTTTGAACATGGCGAGTGTCAATAACTTTATTTAGTAAAGAAAAAGAAAAAAGAGGGAAGTGTTCCCAAACCGTCCTTGAGTTCCAGAAACAGTTAAGATATTTTCTGATAAAATCATTCATGTAATTTAAGAACTATTTGCTGTATAACAGAATTGCTGATAGAACGAACTAGAAAATGGATATAGTTATGGGTGTGAAGAAGGGCATTAGAAAAAGTGTAGTTTAATTTTTAACTTCTATTTTGAAGCTAATTATGGCATTTCCTGTAGATATTTTATATAATGTATAGAATTATTTCTTCTGGAAATAAATAGTTGTATTTAATGTAATCAATTTAGATTTTTGGAGCAATCACCTGGAAATTTTTAACAGACAATGAGAGTGAAAGAAAAATTGTATCCCATATTTGGAGTATTTCTGTATGCTAAAACTTTGCTCATCATATGTATAATGTTATTGCTGCAAAAACCAGATTTGCTAATTTTTTAAATTACTATCAGTAGTAGGTTAATATATGTAAAAGCATTTTCTCAATTCCATATGTCCTCAATCTGTTTAAGGCACATGAAGTTTTATGCCTAGAGATGCTCACTTTGCTCCTGGAAAGACCAACAGATGATAGTGTTGAAGTGGCTATTGGTTTTCTCAAGGAATGTGGCCTCAAATTAACACAAGTGTCACCAAGAGGAATCAATGGTAACTATAAGTCCTTGGCTTGATACTGAGCTTTTGTTTGAGTATTATAATATCTTTTGCTTATTTTCTTGCTTTTTTCTTTCATTTTAACTTTAGCTATATTTGAGCGCCTCCGAAACATTCTCCATGAGTCTGAAATTGACAAAAGGGTTCAGTATATGATTGAAGTGATGTTTGCTGTACGGAAGGATGGATTCAAGGACCACCCTGTTATCCTAGAAGGACTTGACTTAGTGGAAGAAGATGATCAGTTCACCCATATGCTCCCTCTGGAGGATGACTATAATCCAGAAGATGTTCTTAGTGAGTCTGAGTTGGAGAGGGGTGGGCCGGGTACAGGGTGAGTTGGGAAGTGGGGCACCAACAAATGTAAATATAGAAAATAAACAATTTTTAATTTATGTTTTTAAGATGTTTTCAAGATGGATCCTAATTTTATGGAGAATGAAGAGAAGTACAAAACTATTAAGAAAGGTATGTACAATTTTATAATCTATTTTGGTTAAGTAGAAGCAATTCATGTAGTTATATAATACTAATAGAAAGGTTTAGATCCCTGACCTAATGAAATCTCTGCTATTATGAAGCCATTCTCTTCACTGTTTTCCCATGCATTATTTTTCTGTCTGGTGCTTCTTTGTGGTATTACTTCATTCTAAATTGTTTACCTCATTGTCCCTGTCCTCTTTTCTTCTATTTAAATTATACAGCCCTTAAGTCTCATTCCTCTTAAGAAATGTCTATATAGGGTCGCCTGGGTGGCTCAGTCGGGTGAGCATCCAACTCGGTTTCGGCCCAGGTCATCATCTCAGGGTCCTGAGATTGAGCCTTGTGGTAGGCTCAGCAGGGAGTCTGCTTAAGATTCTCTCCCTCTCCTTCTGCCCCTCTGTCTGCACACGCGCACGCTCTCGCTCTCTCTCGCTTTCTCTCTCTAAAATAAACAAATAAATCTTTAAAAAAAAAGAAGAAATGTTCCTTTATTACTAGTGGCCCTTATTTTAACTTCACTACCACTTAAGAATTGGTGTTTAAATTGATGTCCAATGTAATATTCAACTAGATGCTATACTTTTATTATAAAGTACAGTATTTTATTATTTCTTCAGAGCAGGTTGATATCCTGATAAAATCAATGACAATTCCAGATAGGCTATCAGTGCTCAATACATTAATAAATTGATTATTATTATCATTTGTACATCATCAATATATTATAAGCACTAACTTTGGACAGACTTTGGTTTGTATTTTGCCTGTGCCATCACTAGCTAAGTGACCTGGCACAAATTACTTGTTTGATGTAGATATTACTTGTTTGTTTAAGAATAAATAAAATACAGGGCTTTGTATTATCATAGAGCAAGTATTTAGGCGATGCTTTTTTTTTTTGACATTTGTATCATTTCTAAAGTTAATTTTCAGGGATACCTATATAATTATAATTATAATTATAATTATAATTTTATAAGTTCATTTCCCTTGAGTTGTGATTTTATGTGAGAAGTACTTACTGTTCTGAAAGCTCTCAGGAAGACAGCAGGAGGCCTAGAGCTCTGTCACTTCCTCCATTCTGTGCTTTAGTCAGGCTTGGAAGTAGAATGAAGTAGAAAGTAAGGTGTACGCAGCTTTCCATTTCTATACATTATTCTAAAAATCTGCTACAGTAAAGAGATTGCTCTCCTTAGGTGCCAATTTCCTAGGGACATTTCACTGCAATAGCCAGATTCCTTTTGCTATTACAGTTTAGTTTCTAGACATGGAGAATTCCTCAGACCTATTTTGCCTTTTTATGAACTTCTTTTTCTACAGTATCACTCAAAGATTCTGAATGGTTTTATGGAATTTTTATCATACCTAGTATGATTTTTTTTTCTTTTAACTTGGAAACTCCACATCCATTTCTCTAGGCCAACAGTGGTTGAGCAATGCTAGGAAAGTAGTACTTTTCTTTATTATAGCACTTAAACTCTCTGAACTTAAGTTCCCTTTATACTCTTGAAAATTATTTAGGACTCCAAAGAGCTTTTGATTGTGTGGGTTACATCTATTGACATTTACTTCATTACCAATTAAAACTAAGAATATTAAAAATATTTATCAAATCATTTCAAATTAACAGTAATACACAGTGTTATACATTATATACTTTTATGAAAATACTTTATGAAACAAATTTAAGAAAAATGGCATGTTTTATATACTTGATACAATTTAATGTCTGACTTAATAGGAGATGGATTTTCATATTGTTTGTGATTTCAGTCTCTTGCAATAGATTGTTTTCATCGAAGTATATGAAGAAAATTTAGCTTCATGGATAATATGTATTTGGAAAAGAGAGAAGTATTTTAATAACCTTTTTAGATAGTGTGTATATTCTTCCTTAATACTATGCCAGTATTTAAAAGCTAATTGTTTCTTAAAGATTAATTGCACTGTGAAACCTGAAACAGTATTCTTGTATTTTCATACTCTATTACATCAAAATCCATTGGCCTATCACTTTGAATGGATCTTTTACCCATGCAGGATTTTGCAACATATTCCATTGGTCATTTAGAAAATATCAGTTCACTCAGTTATGCATATCTTCTAAGTGTTAACATGTTAACATTATCAAAATTAAATTAACACATTAACACAATATCAAGAAATCACATTTATTAGTATTGCCACCTACCTCATCAGAGGAGTCTAAGTATTGGGAAGCTGTCAATCTCACAGGAATGGATCCAAGTTCTCCAAAGTTCTAATTTTCTCTTGAGGACTCCCTATTTTATCATGGTAGTAAATACTGTTAATTATTTTCCTTGAAGGGACCATCTCACTTTGTTTATATTTGAGAAAATGTCCTCCAGATGCCTAACAACTATAGTTTGCCAGCCATTCTTTCAAGTAAAAATGGAAAACATCACTAATTGACCTTGCAAGTCAAAGAGTTGCACAAGTGCTTTTCTTTGAGATAACCATCACCATTGTGCATCTGTCTTTAACAGAAGGGCTATGTATGAATTCATGTTTTGCTACTCAGATGATTATATATGCTTATACTTCAGGGCTGAGATTGAGTGAAATTAGCAGTTTTCTACTTCTTCCTCAAGGGCATCCTCAGGTCAAACTGGCTCTTTGCCTGCCTCCAAGAACATGGCAGTAAAGAGCACAGTGATGGCTGGTTCAGTTTGATGCTTGATTTGTGCTCAGATTGCAGCAGCTTCAACTCCCATTGCTTTTGGGTGCTTGTAGATGGTAGCACAGAGAAAAGGCAGATAATGTCTGGATATTGTTATGAAAATAGTTGTGACCTCACAGACCACCTGACAGATCTCACTGATCCTCCGGGGACTTACAGATCATACCTTGAAACCGCTGCTTCATTCAGTTAATGAAATCTAGTTGTCATTTCCTAAGTGATTTCAGTAAGTAGATTCTCAAGTGGAGAGATGGGGAGAGGATGATGTAAACGACCAGACAATTCATTTGACCTTCATTCTTTCATGAAATGTTCTTCTAGAACTGGCATTAAAAAATGGCCACAGCAGGAAGTGGGCACAGCTTTAGTAATTAGCACCTTAGAGTGACCCAGGTGCACTTGTGTTTTAAGTCTTACAGCATTTGGGAAGACAGCAGGAGTGCCTGTCTTCCTACTATTGAATACTAAATAGTTTCCTCTCTTAAAAGTCTGTTTAAACTACATTATATAATAGGAAACTAGACACTTTAGATTATTTCTTGAAGTCACATTTGTTCGAGATATTCTTGGGATTTGTTTGTCAGCTAAGGGCTGAATGACAACTCTTCGTTTTAATAAAAATTTATTTTTCACAGTATGAAGTTTTCTGCTAGCATTAAATATTATATGTGGCTCCTGATTTATAGTGCTCAGTTAAATATAAGAAATTAGAATTTCCCTAAAAGTAAGTTCACCCTAAAACTTTATCTTTTTTTTTTTTTTTAAGATTTTATTTTATCTGACAGAGACACAGCGAGAGAGGGAACACAAATGGGGAGTGGGAGAGGGAGAAGCAAGCTTCCTGCTGAGCAGGGAGCCTGATGCAGGGCTTGATCCCAGGACCTGAGCCGAAGGCAGACACTTAACGACTGAGCCACCCAGGCGCCCCCCTAAAACTTTATCTTAAAAACTCTGATTTTAGAAGAAATGCAAAAGTGGAGTGTTAGCCAGGTTTGTAAAATCTTTAATCAGATCAACAGAGCACACACCATTGGGCGAAATATAACTTTAGTTTTTTTTCACTTGTTAACTATTAATATGATGACTAGCTTTATGTAGTCTCTTATTTACATTGCTGTTGTCATCCAGTTCTAGATGTAAGTTGTATTTTAAGAAGTGATTTTCCAGTGAAGTGTTCATCTTACCAATTTTTTAAAAGGCTTTTAAACTTCTGTTTCTGTTTACATGTGGAAAGTCTTGAGATTAATTGTAATGTTCTATTCAATAGGTATACATTAGAATAAAAATCTCATTACTGTTTATTTAAAGTAAACACTAAATTATGCAATTCTTTTTTCTCCCTTCTTTGTCTTTCATAGCCTAAATTCTTATTTTCTATATCTACCCTTAGCTTTGTATAATAGACTGTATCCTTTCTGATGCTGAACTAATAATATTTTGATTCCAGTATACTAGTTTCCATTCATAATTTGTTTTTCTGGTGCTCTTGCTCTTTTGGAAAACCTTCATCTACTTTTTTGTTGTTGTTCTTCTCATCCTTTCTTTATTTTATGACCATTTTCTACTTGGCAGAAGAATGATATGTATGGCTCTCTCACCACCTAGGCAATAACATGAGACCCCTGTGCTCACTTCGTTGGTGATAAACTGTAGCCACTATGGATTTTGGTGAACTGAGAATTATCTTCTCAGAATGAGATTCATGTGTATCACTTGCTCATTAATATTTTCCCGTACTTTGTTCTGATAGAAATTCTTGATGAGGGAGATAGTGACTCGAACACAGACCAAGATGCTGGAAGTAGTGAAGAGGAAGAGGAAGAAGAGGACGAAGAGGGAGAAGAAGATGAAGAAGGTAAACGTATAGCTCATTCAAGTAATACTGTAAAATACTCTGAAATTAAATTAATTCTAATGTAATCCTCTAAAATAGTGGTTGCCAATCTGTGGAGGGCTGGGGGCTGCTACTGGCATCTAGTGGGTGAAGGCTGGGGATGCTGTTACACATCCTACAAGTCACAAGACTGCCCCCACCACAACAGAGTATTATCTGGCCCAAAATATCAGTATTGCTAAGGTTGAATAACCATGCTCTAAAAGTATTAAAGAAGGAAATCGTTTTTTAATATCGGCATAATTTCAATTTGACATTATATGCCTTTGAGTATAAACCATGAAATAGATGCATTCGTGTTGAGTACATGGGATTTCTGCAACCCGACATGATGTGACAGATTAATGTGGCTAGGTATTTGCTATTCATTTTGGCAGAATAAAGTGGGGAGGCCAAAAGCTGTGTTTGCACAAAGCAGGCATGATGTTCTTCTTCAGCTTTGATTACTTTATTTCACAGAAAAATAAGCTCAGAACGTTATTTTATTTAAGTCTTAGTTAAAACGTCAAAACATACGTAAGACTGGTCATTATTTACTTATATTGCATATTGAAAATATTAAGAGTATATCTTTCCCTATTAGGACATAATCTATTTTAGTTCTGTCCTAAAGTGTAATTATTCTTCTACAACATATTTTATAAAAATAAATTCAATTTTTTTCCAGTGTCTTTCTTACTTAAAACATTTCCTAACTATGTACTATATTTAGCTTTAGAATTTCTTTGTTTTATGTGAAAATACTGTTCAAATAAGAACTACCAAATATTTATAGGGGAAGTTGTCATGCATTAGATAAGAGAAAATTTTGACAAATACACATATTCATATTGGACCCATCTAGTCTGCCATGATGACTCAGTGTTCTCTGAAACTGATTTTCTATCCATAATTTACAGTTTTTCCAAATTATCAGGATACTGTTTATAATTCTAGAAATAATATTTTACCAAACAACAGCATGAGTGCTGCCTTTTATAATGTCTAAATGAGCAGGCAACACAGAAACAAAAATATTTCTGGCTTGATTCTGGACTTCTTTGAACTGACAAAAGTTATTAAAATACTCTAAGATATGGCAGAAGACTGGAAATGGTTACTTTGAGCTCTGCAAATACTATTTTACACTGTAGAAAAGAGCATTATTGTTAAACTCATAGATTCTAAATATTTATGAAAAATTATAATCTAGAGATATATCTTCAGTCCTTCACATTTATTTTCGTAGTCTCATAATTTTGTTATGTTTAATTTCTTTCAGGACAAAAAGTGACTATTCATGACAAAACAGAAATTAATCTAGTCTCATTTCGTCGTACAATTTATCTTGCTATTCAGTCAAGGTAAGATACTGTAGCTCAGTTGATCCTTATTTTTGATAGGGGATAGACAAGAAGATGGGATTTTTAGCATCTGATGACAGTAAACTAGATACCATTTCAGGGATTCTCAAACTACCTGCCCAACTTCATAGATCCCTGCTGTTGGTTCTTTGCTTCAGGAGAAAATTATCTTTATTTGGAAGGTCTAATTGTGTTACATAATTAAATGTTTTTTTTTTTTTTAACTGTGTTTTTCCTTATAGTTAAATATCACTAATAAAAACCTGAAGACAACTCTGTGTTATAGAACTGGCACAGTATATAATTGTAGTGGAAATATAATATTTTTTTTAATTTGGTTTCTAATTCTGCTTCTAATCATAGAAGTACTTTTATGATAACTTTTGGACACTGATTTTTTTGTGTGTGCAAATGGAAATGAACATAAATGGAAATAGGAATTAGGAAGGTTTTGAGGACCCTTTGAAGTAATGTTAAGTAAGAACTACTGTGATGTCATGTGAATATCCTATTCCCTTTGAAGGCTGTGAGTTTGGTTTGGAAGAGAAATAAATGAAATATTAAATGCTTAGTACATCTGTTGTTTTTTATGCGAATCAGCCTATTGATTTAATGGGCACAGTGTTTACATTTTGCACCGGAGGAGGAATGTTTTCTCAGTTTTGTTTTCTTACTAGGTTTTGTATATTTCCATTTAGTATGATGTAATAGCAAAAATGATTCATACGTAGGAGTCATCCTGTTTTTATTCTGTCTGAAAACTTTTTGGCTTAGATTCATCTTCAGAAAGGGAAATGTTAAAAAACAAAACATTGGCTAGAAATATTTTTGGTTTATCCTTACCTGTTTCTTTGCCTTTCACATGAAAGAAAAATCTATTAACTATTTTTTCATACAAACTTAAAGTGAAAAATGAGAAGTTTTTGTTATAGGTAAAAATTCCTAGTTTGACCTTTCAATTATCCTTTTTTAGAAATTCAACAGTAATCTATTGAGAACAGCAGATTCACTGTTTTAATATTGCTGTTAACATTAACTTTGAAGAGTTAGAGTGGAGCTGTTTGGGTAACTATTTAAAGGAAACTATTTTTTTAGTTTACCAGACCTTGATAATCCTTGAACCACACAAAAGATTTGAAAAATGAAAGCATTAGACAGGTGACAATCACGATTATAAAGTGATACCAACTCTAGTAACAGCAGTACTGTTTTATGTGTTGGTGTTTGTTAAGAGTTCTGAGCCCCTGAATGTCTGGTAAAAATAATTTATATATGACAAAGTTTACTATACTTAAAATCTCATACATATTTTAGAAAGAACCACAAAGACAGATGTTTAAAGGACATGGTTGAGGGAGTCATGTAATGGGATCCTGAATCATAAAGTTATTGAACAAATATCACTCTAGACTAATAAGTGCTATTTTTGGTCATTAAAACAGCTGAAGTGATTTACTTTAATTTTTTTTTCAAAGCAGCAGTACTCAGTATTAATGATTTTACTGAGATACAGGTAAACATCATTGATACACTCTTTTTAAATTTAAATTGATAAGCTCTTTTTAAATTTAAATTGATATGCTCTTTATGGAAAGCCTTTTAGTAACATGAATCAGGGACTTAATGTCCATGCCATTTGACCATTCTTTTTCATTATATTTCTTAAAGAAATAGAAATTGACAGAATTATATATAGAATTGTTCAGTACAAAGAAAAAAAGACCATCTTGTCCAATACAAATAATCAAAAGTCCAGTTTATGCCACCATTGAAAGTTAGGCTAATGTGGGTCTTGTTATTGATGTGGGCAAGTGGTCTGACTTAATGTGAAATGGGGCAAAAACTGTATAGACACTATAGTACTGTACCAGTAGTATTACCTTAACTGTTTAAATAGGTAGACAGATTCTAAAAGTGATACGTTAACATATCAACAGTGGTAGTCTTGAGAGGAGATTGGATTACAGATTTTTTTGTGTCTGTTTTCCAGTTTTTTGTGTTTTTCAAAGTCTTACGTGTACAGTATACCAATCTGTACCAAATATAAATCGAGAATGGAATATAATCATCAAGTCAGATGGCAGTGAGGGCATTTTATAGAGTTTGCTTTTGGAAATCTTGCAAACAAAAGGACTGACAACTGTGTGGTGATTTTATTTTTTTAATTTCTTTCCTTTTAGACTTGACTGATCTCACCTGTACTCTTATCTTCTTACTATCCTGGCTCCTAAATGACCCTGTCTCATATACACAAAACATAAAATTATACAGTTGGTTTTGTTATTAAAAAGTAAACATTCCTGTTTATTCTTGCTTTCAAATGATACTCCTCTCTGATTTTACATTATTGAAGCTGTAGCATCAGAGGGAGGTGGGTTTATCGTTTTCCCACCAAAGTTTCTTAGATTGGAAACATCAACAAAACCATGTGTAAACACAGCTGGGAAACTAGCATCATGTAAAATCATTTTTCTTTACCCTTCCCTCAGTCACTATTTATTTGTGTTAAACCTGAAATTCATTTGATTTAGCAACCTAAGATAACTGAAACAACAAGCAAATTTAATTCATTTAATATTTACATTTAGTACAACTTCAAAAGAATCTTGGTATAGGAAATTACCAAATACTTTTAAAATAAGAACAAGGAAAATAGACTATCATACAGCTGACTTTCTCACTGGTACTTATTAGATAAACTGAAAGTTATAGAATATTTTTATTAATTGATTGACTTATTTTTCAGAAATTGCAGGGTTTTTTTCCTGCATACTAATTCTGTTTGAAAAAAAAATTAAAACTAGAAAAGAAAATGTCAACATCTTTCAAAATACTTTTTGGTAATATTGCTGTATTGTTGAAGTTTATCAACTACAGTTTAATATTTTAATCTTACTGCCAGATATTGTTTAATATTACCTGTTGCAAAAGCTCTTTCTGATATATTTCTTTCTTCATTTTAGTTTGTTTTTTTTAATTCCATTACATTGTACCATTCTGAGTTATTACTCTATTGTGCTTATGAAACTCAATAAGTATCAGAAGCTGAGGAATCAGATGAACTATAAAACTAAATTCATAGTCATTCTATTTCAGTGGCTGATTATTTTATACTGCTTTTATCAAAAGAATGAAGGTTTGAACATTCTACAAAAAGTACAAATATATTAGTATTATTCCTGTATTGAGCTCACATTAAATTTGATAATTTTCTTAAGTATATTGGAAATATTTTTAATGAAACTTACATGAATGTTGTATAAAAGCAAATTATTTTTCCTTGTAAGTGATTTTGGTTGTTTACTATTTTTATACTTAGTTTTTGAAAATGTAGAAGCACTTTGGTTGGGTATGAATCATGATAACTTATAAATGTGGTGATTAAGCACTAGATGTCATGCTGGGCTCTGGGGCATCTTTTACCTCTTACAGACTTGGGTCAGAGATAAGTGGAAATATTTAGCAATGTCATAAAAATTTGTCTACTTTCTGTATTTGCCCATTCTGGACAGCTTATATAAATGGAATCAAACTATATGTGGTCTTTTATATCTGACTTTTTCACTTCACATAAATCAGAGTTCATCCATGTTGTAGTACATCTCAGTACTTCATTCTTTGTAGAATTAAAAGCTATTTCTTTTCTATATACATGATACAGTACTGTGAAGTTACAATAAAAAAGTTATTTTAAACAATTATTAAAGCAAGATCCTTGTTTATAAAAGAGTGCTATATGGTTTAACTAACAATGCTGCAAGTTTTTAACTTATTGTGACCATTTTATCTCTACAGTTTAGATTTTGAAGAATGTGCTCACAAATTGCTGAAAATGGAGTTCCCTGAGAGCCAAACAGTAAGTTAATATTTTTTTCTTCTATTAGGAAATAATATTGGTTATAAAAATGTTTAAGACAGTTAATATAGGCTTTATGAATTGAAATAACTCAGTATTGAATATTCATTTTCTAATGTAGCTATTCTAAAATTTTAAAATAAAACTTAGTTCTGGGGTGCTTCATAAATGCTACTCATTGCAGTGAATTAAATGGACTGCTTAAATCGGATGTGGGAAAAGGAGGAAGTCTCTGAACCACTGCACTTTACATGAATTTCTGAGTGGTTGCCTATAAATCAAATGGTGGCTTAAAATACAATAGGAAATTTGTTCCTTAATGAATTGCCTACTCTATCTACTTAATGCACTAAAACATTCTTTTGTGGTAGAAATTGTAATGATCACCATACATGTTGTTACATTGTTTTAATTGGATATAAAGAATCTGTCATTTTTTTTTCATTAATTCAACAAAATGTATTCAGCATATACTACATGTCATACTCTCTACAGGGTATCAGGGATTCAGTAATCCAGTACATATTAGCCCCCTCTTAGTCCAGGGGACTCGTAATCTTATAACTTAGTATATACTTCACTGTTCAAAGTATCATAGAACCCTAATGACAAAAATAATAAAGACTGGATTGAGTAGATTATCTTGGGTGTTTTTTATAGTTGCATTCTTATCTGTATTGCTCCCTGCCCATCTATATTTTAAATCCTTGGAACCTGAGCCAAGGCTTTTGGGGTTTTGTTTTTCACACCCTGGTTTACACATGGTAGACCCAGCAGAGATGCCACAGTGAATAGATCAACTCTAGGCTGTTTCTATTTCTAAAAGATCTTGACCATCTGAGCTGTTACTATTAGGTGTAAGTGCTTTGTTTTAAGGCTTTAAATATGATCTGTTACGGGGATTGGCAGACTGTGGCCCAGTCCCACTACCCATTTTTCTAATTAAAATTTTATTGGAATACAGCCATGCCCATTGGTTGGTGTACTGTGTATAGTTGTTTTCACCTTATGGCAGCAGAATTGACTGGTTGCGACAGGCATCTTATAGCCTTAAAGCCTAAAATATTTACTGTCTGGCCTTCAATTGAAAAAGTTTACCAATCTTTTCCTAGATTGTGGATTTCTTCTTGAAATGCCATGGTATGTAATTTTGAGAGGAAGTGAAAGTTCTTTTTTCCCTCTTGAAGTTTGTTTATTGGTATATTAGAAACAGTGTACCTATTTATACCCTGGGTGCACTTGATGTGTTCACTTTTGAAAGGAAATAAATTAGTGAATTATTAAAATGATAATTGAAACTGAAATTACTATATGATCTTGTCACATTATTTGAGGAGTATAATTAAGTCATTATAACTTTTATTAATACTAATTCAGAGGATAGTTGTTCTAGAACTAACCTCAACATATTTTGATAGCATTTGGAAGAATGTCGTAGTGCATCTGTTTTCATGCACTCAAAAGACTCTCCTAAAATTGCTATAATATTTAATTAAAATGTTAAAATATGTAATTATTATAAGCCACAGGGAATAACTCTTATAATTGAATTTAGTCTAGGGAAGAAAGTAATTTGTTTTATAAGTAGCACTGGCTTTATTAGCAATGCTGTCAGCATATTACTATGTTATATTGTTTAAAACCTGATTAACTTATGTTATTGTAAAATACAATGTTAGTAGAAAGAGTTAGAAATGCATTTTAATATATCAAATTAACATAATATGGCAGAACTCAGAAAAACCTCATTTTAACTTTTTAGTACTATATTAAATTTTGACAAAGTATATCTTTCCAGAACTTACACATTAATAAGCATTTTTTTTAATTGAGGTGACTTGTGACTAATCATAAAAAAATAATTTAGCAGTGTAACATCTAGAAATAACTTAATATTGTGAGTTAAGTTAGGCTTTTTGAGTAGATTGTTTTATAAGTAGATTATCAACTTCCAGAACAGCGCAACCAATAGAACTTTCTGCAGTGATGAAAATATTTGTATTCCACTCTGTCTGGTATAGTAGCCACTAGTCACATGTGGCTTTTGAGTACTGAAAATGTGGCTGGTATGACCAAAGAACAAAAATTTTAATTTTATGTAATGTTATTTAACTAATTAGCTAGGGGTTACCATGCTAGACAGCACAGTTCTAGAGTATCTGTTCTGTGCCTCTTTGGGACCCTTTTCCTCCCTCTTGCACATAGATATATGCAGTAAATATAGATAGACCTAAGTTTTAAAAATATTTACAATATTTACTTAGGTTGCATCTCACATTGTTAAATATGACAAAATGTCAAAATTTTTAATTGAAAATATAAAGGTAAAATTAAATAGAAGTAAAAATGAACTGAAAGGGTATATATTATATTTTATATAATAAATATATTTTTATATATTATACATTATATTATATTTTCTGTTTATAGAGCACAAATACATTGCAGTTACTCTATTTGGAAAAAATAATCTTCAACTTTTTGGTAAATGTTTTGTAGAAAAAGATATTTCGTCAATTCTACAGCAGTGGTCAGAGAATGAATTTAGGCCTTTTTTCATTTTGTCGCCATTGATTTGTCCATGTTTCCTGAGTTTCTTTGTCTATGAAATTGATATAATCAATACATATTTCATTAACAGTATTTTAAAATTATAAATCATTTGTGTTGATGGTATTTCCTGGTCCTGGATTTACTCTTGCATTTATTAGTTCAACAGAATTTTTACACAGGAGTTTTCAAGGCACATAAATAGCTGATTAGACAATATATTACTCCAGCAGTTACGGAATGATTTGATCTATCTGTATAGATTTATCAATAGATAGATGTATATGTGTAACATTTATTTTGAGGCTAGGAAATCCGGCCACAGAGGTGTTTTTTTCTTTGTTCTTGTAAAAATATTTTTTCTTTATTAACCAGAGTGTCATTTAAGTTAATGTTGTAGCTGTGCTTATTTATGCTTCTATGAAGACTCATGTTCTACTTTTCCCATACTAATTAAATATATTCCTTAATAATTGAGTTTAAAGGTGTATAACTGAATTGTTAGGTGGCGTATTGATGATCTATATTTTTCAAGATTTTGTGTAGAAACTTTTTAGAATCCAGTCTATTCAGTCTCTTCATGGTGTATCTGTTTCATATAGTAGATTTTCTTGAAGTGGTTCATACTTAATATGAATTTAGAATTTTGTAATCAATCTAATTAGCATGGGTGACTATGAAAACTGTCAGCTAAGCTGAAGGCTTTAAAAAACTATAGGCTTGACCTAGATTGAATTTTTTAATTTTGTTTTAATAACAAGCTCACAAAGCTTTGGAAGTTTTCTATATTTAAAACATTATTTAAAAATTCAGACTGTCTCTGTCATATTGATAAATTATCATATAGTATGGATTCATTGGGTTCTGAATCATTAATGCAGTTTTTTCCTCCAAATAGAAAGAACTCTGCAACATGATACTTGACTGTTGTGCCCAACAAAGGACATATGAGAAATTTTTTGGCTTATTAGCTGGGGTGAGTTCCAGCCTCATTTTTCTTGTTGGAATGTAATAGAATCACTAAGGGAATCCTTAACATGAATATTGTGAATTAATGTGTCTGCTTTGTGGTCTTCTCTAATATAATAGCAAATCTTTGCTAAAAGCTCGTTGCTCTTCCCTTCCTCAGGCTTCCCATCCTCTGTAGTTTCCTCCTTTCCTACTTCATTTTGTAGTGCCTTAACATTGCATATGACTCTTCCAGAACTTTTTGAAATTCTGTATGCTTTGTAACAATTTCCCAAAGAGGACAATTAAATGTTGCCTTTTCAAAAATCTCAAAGTAGTTTCTGTTAGTACATGTTCAGGCAGCACAAATAGAGCATGAGCTAAAATAAGTTTTCAAATCTAAGCTCTACCCACAGAGAAATATATTTACATAGTATGCAAATGTATGTGTCTATGATAAGCTACTTGTATAATTTTGTTGTAGCATATAAACCCCAGGTAAATAAGGATGATATATATTACCTTCTTTTTTAAGCATTCATCATACAGCACAAAAAGATTGCATGATATGATATATAAAATATTTACTAATTTTTGATTCAGTAAATTTAGAAGGATCTGATATGCTCATAATGGTATTGAGAGTCAATTTTTAGTGGTACTGACATTCAATTTTTTTTTATTAGCGATTTTGCATGCTAAAAAAAGAATACATGGAATCCTTTGAAAGTATATTCAAAGAACAATATGATACCATCCATCGCTTGGAAACAAACAAATTGAGAAATGTTGCTAAGATGTTTGCTCACCTTTTATATACTGATTCACTTCCATGGAGTGTAAGTAGATGGGTTGATATTTATACTTCCTTCCTAATCCCATTATACCTTAATAGGGTATTAAGTATAATATAACCATACTTTTCCTATGTAGGAAATGTACTTTTAAAAATGAAATGTATAGCAAACTTTTACTGTAATGGCTATCTTTGAGGTTATATTCATATAACATGGAATCGAGAAGCTAAGTAAATAACATGAGTATAAGAAATACCATCCTAGGTGATTTTAACAGTCCAAACATCACAGTCCTTTTTAATAGTGATGACTCATGGTGTTTTCAGGGAAAATAGAGATTTTCATCTTCTCTAGGTGTGCACACGTGAATACAGACTCATACCCACATACATCAATAGCTTGGTGGTCCATGCATCATGCAGTCAGTTCTTTAGAACAAGATGAGATATCCTTGATACACAGATGTATACTGGATTGGAATTTGAAATGCATTCATGAAGCTGGCATTTATTGTACAACTGCTGTTCATCCAACAACCATTCATTTAGTTACCAGCTATGTGCTCAGTCACTTGAGAGAGATACTGGGCATCCAAAGTGAATTGTATATGATCTCTGCTTTCAAGAAGCATACCATATAAGAAATACATAAGGTAAGATATGCCCATAGCACCAATACGAAATAACAAGTGATAGGTTATAAGAAAAGTGAAGGTGAAAGAAAGAAATTACATCCAAGAGGAAAGAAAGAAGAGGATCACATTGTAGAATACCACAACCTGATGGTAGAATGAGGCAGCAAAGTGACCTCATAAACATTAGATTGTTGTAATATTGTAAGTACTAAGTATGTCTAGCTGCATTAATAAGCATTTTTTAAGCTCACCTAGGAGCCTGATTATAATAATATTTTTACTTCTTTTTCCCCCTCTGGGAATGAAAATGAAATCAAGGTTTTAACCAATTGAAGCAGATAGGTTCCTGGAACAAAGAACTCATAAAGACTGGAGGTTACTTTTAGTTTTATTTGTCCTAAAACATCTCTCTATGGCTTCAGTTTTTAAGCCTCAATCTTAGTATTCAGAACAACCCATCACTCTTCCTGTCTTTACCCTTATTGTATATGTACTACACAAAACTATAGCTTAATGCTCTAAGTGGCATCTTGCCCCAAACCCTTATATATATCCACATTTTGATGAGTGAGTTTTAGGAGCTAGTAATCTTTGCTTCAGCATTATATACTCATAGCAGAATATATCTCTGCTATAAAAAGCACATTACTCAAGAAAGAATGAACTCTATTTCTGTAGTATCTTAGCGTTATGAAAATTAGCATAGAGAGGTAGTCTTAAACTTTGCCAAGAAGTAATACTTACTAGGACAAAGAAAGATATTCATGGATAATTCTTTAGAGACGCTTAGAGTTATAAATGTTGGTCATTTTGTCTTTTGAACAAAATAAAATTGTCTTTTAATTTTAATTTTCAGGTTCTTGAATGTATAAAGCTAAGTGAAGAAACCACTACATCATCCAGTAGAATTTTTGTTAAAATATTTTTCCAAGAACTTTGTGAATATATGGGTCTTCCTAAACTTAATGCAAGATTAAAGGATGAGTAAGTTTATCATTATGCACTTTTTATTCTTACTGTCCTCAGGAATTTTCTTCCGTTATAGCAACATAAGTCCACACTTGGTTGTAAAAACAATAGTTAAGCCTCTAGGACTTTCTTCATCCACTAATTACTACTCTGAATCTCATGTTCTGTAGCACAGGACAACATGCAGTTTTTAATGTTGGGTTTTAGTTGCAGTAGAGAAAACACAGAATCAATGCCTCTTTTAGTTAGAACACATGGAATTCTTTTGTATGTTCACTGGAGTTTTCCAATAGTGAGTACTACTTAGAGTTTTATTTTCATTTTTAACCCTAATTTTGAACCTTAGAAAATTAATTAATTTTTGTTATCAATGGATAATTGTAAATATATTTAGATGACCCAATCATGTAATTGTTCAAATTATTACACTGAATGAGAGTCTTGTTCCAGGACTATCGTGTAATCCCTATCTCAGCTTTCTTATTTCCTGTTTATTCAGATTACCCATTGCCACTCACATTGACTTGTACTATATTCACACTGCTGAATCGTCCTTTCAGATTTCTTAGTGACTACCTGTCAAGTCAAGTACTTTTTCTCAGTCCTCATGCCCCTGGACTTCCCAGCCTTACTTATACAGTTGACCACTTGATCACTGTGGCTCCTCACTTTCTTCTCATTCTGCCTCTCTCTTCATGGTCTCTACTCTTCAACCTACCACTCCTCTTTGCCACAGTTTCCATTCTGGGTTCAACATGCCCTCTCTGGGCTAGTCCATCTGCTCCCCTTAGCTTCATAGACAAACTTATCGGTCCCTGTCTACTTCACCAGGTTTATCTCCTCCCTCTCCACAGGCTGCACCAACATTGCTCAGCTCATTCGTGCTTCCTTACCTCCATTTCCAGAGCTAGAAATCCCCTCTCTTGGTCTATCCAGCAAAACTCTTTAATTATTCTTCTTATATGTCACCTTTTTCTATGAAACAGTTTGTCCTGACATTGCTGGTTAGTCATTCAATGTGGTACTCAGAACAACATGTCCAAACCACCTTGTATTGTTAATGTTTTTTGTTTGTTCCCCTTGCTAGAAATAATAATTATATGCAGGTTTCATCCATGATTTCGCTCTTTTGTTGACTACTTTTTCCCCATCCCCCAGTGCCATGCACAGTACTGTGTGTGCATGTATGTGTGTATGTGTGTGTGTATATATATATATATATACACACACACACACACAACTCTATTATGTATATTCACATACTACATATATATGCGTGTGTGTATGATTGTATATAGTCTACAATATGTATGTATGTGTGATGTATAAAAAAGTTTTTAAAAACTTCTGTGGATGCCTGGGTGGCTCAGTCAATTAAGCATCCGACTCTTGGTTTCCACTCAGGTCATGATCTCAGGGTTGTGAGATCGAGCCTGGTGTTGAGTTCTGCACTCCATTGGGAGTGTGCTTGAGATTCTCTCTCCCTCTCTCCCTCAGGCCCCGCCCCCCATGCACACACATGCGCAGGCTCTCTCTCAAATAAGTAAATAAATAAATCTTTTCTTAAAAAACCTCTGTTGTAAGTTTAGTAAATTATGACTTGACCCTACTCATTTCATTTAGATAGCATGTAGTCTAAAAAATGATATAAATCACTTACTTAATTGTATTTCATTTACTAATTTAATAATACATAGAAAATCTGAAAAATGACTGCATACTGCCTTTTTATCTTTAAGCAATGTGTTCTCTTTTGTTCATATTTTTTCTTGTTTTAGAACCCTACAGCCATTTTTTGAAGGATTATTACCCCGAGATAATCCAAGAAACACTCGGTTTGCCATCAACTTCTTTACTTCTATAGGTCTTGGAGGTTTAACGTAAGGATAATTTTCGGAATTTTATTTTCATTTTATAAAATTATCTCACAGTTGCCTTCGAAGCAGAAACTAACAGAGATTATATCTTTAATTAGGGATGAATTGCGTGAGCATCTCAAAAATACACCAAAGGTCATTGTGGCACAGAAACCAGATGTTGAGCCAAATAAATCCTCCCCCTCCTCTTCCTCTTCCGCATCCTCCTCTTCAGAGTCTGACTCCTCCGCCTCTGATTCGGACAGCACTGACAGCAGTTCAGAGTCTTCCAGTGAAGAGAGTGATTCTTCATCCAGCAGTAGTCAGAGCTCTGCCTCAGGTATGGAAAGTCATTTATAATTGATTGGGCTCTTCTCTAACAAGTATATTGTTGGTGATGTTTACAGCAAGGGAACAAAATAATTTGATTGCTTCATTATTATAGATTCAGTTGTTTAAAAGCCACGATTAATAATATAAATGATCATCTCTCACTGCTGGAGTCTGTAGTGAATTGCATCATTTATAATGCTGAGGTTACCTATTGGCATCCTCTTCATAGAAATGAAGATGTTTCATTGGCATATACTTATTTGAGTGATGACTGAAATACCATTCATTCATAATGCCTATAATCCAGTTTATAGCTTTCCTGGTGTTTATATTTTAAAGAAATTTTAGTTTTTTACATTAGTGAGGGTTTATGTTATTGACATGCGCCATGCATTCGGTGCGTACTTCCTAAGTGTAAATGTTCATGAAGAGAACACATCCATGTGCTAGCTACCCATAACCCGAGTTACCAGCTGCTGCGGCTCCTCCCATCCACTGCCCCAGGGCAGCTTCTGCTCTCATTTGTAATTCCGTAATTCATTGTGCCTGCTTTTAACTTTATACCTATGTTTTATGAACTCCTTTATGTCTGGCTTATCTTTCACAATTACTTTTGTGAGATTCACCTGTAATACTGCATTTAGTTATAGTTCATTCAGTCTTATGGCTGTGTAGTTTTCCACTATATGAATATGCTACAGTCTATTTAACATCCTTTTTACTCAGCAGCAATTTAGATTTATAAATAGTATTCCCGTGAATACTCTTATTCATACTTGGTAGATCTATGTATATGTACATATGTGCATTTCAGTTGGGTGTGTACTTGGAGAATCACTGGGAATCACTGGGTTGTAGGTTGTTTAGCTTTAGTAGATAACTGCCAGTTTTGCAAGTGGTTATTTCAGTTTATACCCCCATCAGCCATGTTTGAGAGTTCCAGTAGCTCCCATCCTCACAACACTTCAGTTGGCTGTCTTCTTCATTTTAACCATTCTGGTAGATGTGTAATGGTATTGCATTGTGGTTTTAATTTGTATTTTCTTGATCACTAATGAAGTTGAGCACTATTTTATATTCTTATTGGCCATTTGGGTATTTTCCTTTTGTTAAGTGGCTGTTCCAGTCTTTTGCTACGCCCCCCCCCCTTTTTTTGTTTTATGAAGTTGTCTCTTCTATTAATTTGTAGGAGTTCTTTAGGTTTTCTGGATATGTATCTTTTGTGACATGTGTGTATTGCAAATAGCTAGTTCAATTCCATTCTTGTCTCTCCAGGCCTGTGCAGCTGCCAGAGCTCTGTTGGTCTCTCTCTCCCTCAGCAGCAGCCCTGAATCAGCAGATGCTCACAGGGAGAAAGTGGCTGTAGAATGTCAGCTTACCTCTCTATGGTTCTGCCCTCCTTGAATCTTGGCCCTTATTCCACTTAAAGTTGCAGATAGTACAGAAAATTCCCATATAGCCTTCACCCGACTTCTCCTAATGTTAGCATTGTACTAACCAGAGTTCAATTTTCAAAGCCAGGAAATTAACATTGGAACAATACATTAAACAAATTCTTGAATTTGAATTGAATTTCACCAGATTTTCCATTAATGTCCTTTTTCCTATTCCAGGATCCTACTTGCACTGAACTGAGTTTCTTCTTAGTCCTCTGTATCCTGTGATAGTTCTCTCAGGCTTTTCTTGGTTTTAATGGCTTTGATACTTTTGAAGTCCACTGGTCACTTATTTTTTAGAATGTCCCTTAATACGGATATGTGTCTGATGTTTTTACATAATTAAAATGAGGTTATGCATTTTTGGACAGAATACCATAGAAATGTATTCTTAATCCATCTTATCTTAGAGTTCATAATATTGATATGTCTTATTGGTGACATTAACTTTGATCACTCAGTTAAGGTGATATCTGCTCGATTTCTTCGTGGAAACTCCCTTTCTCTGTAAATTAATGTCTTGTAGGGAGATAATTTGATACTATGCAAATCTTCTCTTTCTCCTCTACCTTTCACCCTTTAATTTTAGCATCCATCTTTGGATCTTGTCTGCAATACTTAACTACTGTGGTGTTTGCTGAATGTGGTTTTTCCATTTGCTTTTTTTTTCTGCATTTAGTAATTGAATTTCTTCTGCAGGAAGAAGTTGTCCCTCTCCCCCCTCCCCATTTATTTATTAACTGTATATTTTATCAGTGTGGACTCATGGATATTTATCTGAATTAATTAAACTCCATTACTGTCATTTATTTTGTTGTTCACGTTATTTCAGCTTTGGCAATTAAGAGCTCCTGCAAGTTGACCCCTCTGTTCTTTCATCATACCCCTATCCTTTTCTTTGAGCACTGCCTTTCTTTATAAAATCTCAAGTTGTTCAAGATCTTTAGTGCCTTTACGCAGAAGATTTTAAATTTTTATCTGGCATTTCTAGTAGTTTTCAGCAGGGGCACTGGTCTTCCACAGCTTTCTTCATCCTCCCTGGAAGTGGAAATACAGTAGTAAAGGATTTTTTCAAATGTGCCATTTTCTGAGAAGGTCTGTGGTGTTTTCCCCAGGGTCAACTCTGTTTTCTTCCATCATAGTATCTTAGTCTGAATAAGAGATAGTCTAATTGTCCAAAACACATATTTCTTATTTTTTAATGCATATTTTACTGGCAGGAAAAAGTAGTCTTTATACTCTTGTTCTCTGGCTTGTTGCACTTAAAAGAGTATTAGATACTGTGTGGCAGCCAGATTTGTGGGACTCTCAGTATTTTATATTGTTAGAGCAAGATTGCATTTGCCCACAGGAAGTCTTATTCTTGAATTAAAATATATTAACATTGTTCATTTAATATTCACCTCTTTTAATTCTAAAGAATTTGTTATTTCATGGTATCTGTTTTGAGAACAGATGATAACACAGCATGAATTGCTGCAATAAGGAATCTTGCCGATTCAGAATTAATTTGCCTCATCATACAATTTCAGTAGAAAGCTTTCAGTTTTATTAGTAAAATATTAAGTAGCATAAAAACAGTATGAACTGCCCCCAAATTAGAAAATTATAAAGCAAACACCAAAGAGTGGGGAGGTTGCATATTATGGTAGGGCTCAGGGTTTTGTGTCAGCAACACAAAAAAAAAAGAGTGGTGTAGAGTAGGGTCAGAGAGACGCTGATTTAGCACACAGCCAGATGGTTTCTGCTTGGGTAGCTGCAGCTCAGCTGAGAACCAGAGAAATAAATCCTTAGTGGCAAACCAATGGACTGTGCCAAGGGTAGGCATTTGGCAGAAGAAATACAGGTTGGTACAGTGAGATTTAGGTGGAGATAGGATGAAGGTAGGCAGTTTTCTACCATATTTTCTTCTTTCTGTATATGTATGAATTTGACAGAACTTTTGGTCATCTTAGCAACTTTGACTTATGTACCCAAAAGAAATAACACAAATATAAAGTGGTTAAATTTGTTTTATAGCTTAAAATTTCACTGTGATTAAGATTTATATTTGTGATTATATCAGTGAGATTGAATTGTTCTAGGCCATTTCAGAAGAGTTTTCTCAGAAATCAAGCCTTCATAGCTCTCATAAAGCATATGATTATATGTCTTAACAAGCTTCTCTTCCTGGTGCAGAAACTGCTTCTCTGATAGCACTGGTCAGCAAAACTATTGTTTTGTTTTGTTTTTTTAAGATTTTTTTATTTATTCACTTGAGACACAGAGAGAGAGAGAGAGCGTGAGCAGGGAGAGAGGAAGGGGGAGAGGGAGAAGCAGCCCCCCCGCTGAGCAAGGAGCCCGATGCGGGACTCGATCCCAGGACCCCGGGATTATGACCTGAGCTGAAGGCAGATGCTTAACCATCTGAGCCACCCAGGCGCCCCAGAACTATTGTTTTTGTAGAAAGAGGTTTTTATTTGAAAAATGTATATTTATGCTGTTAAACAAACTCATGCACCCCACTCCCCTACCTTTAGGGAATGATGTTGCTGGCATGTGTGATCACTGTATTTTTTATAAGTGGAAATGTTAGTCACTTTATAAAAAACTTTACATTTGCTACAGTTTATTTAAAGTTCCTCTTTACTGCTTTGAGTCTAAAGATCAAAACAGTACTTTGGTAACTAATGGTGATATGATGTATATTCTTAAAAATTACTCATCTTATAAAATATTCTGTCATCAGACTTTTCCATTCAATCATTTAATTTTGCGTCCAGTTTGTCTGAATTAATAAACCTACGATGGATCAATAAATGTAATTGTTAAATTATGAAATTAAAGATTAAAATAAAAGCTATTTCATTTTACACCTGCAGCTACAAATAGAAGAAAGAAGGGACAAGGGAACACCAGAAGTAAAGAAGTAGATAAATTGATCAGGAAACAACAAACCCATGATAGGAAACAAGAAGAAAGAAGGCCAGAGCAAAGGCATCAAGAAACATGGACTGAAAGAGAAAGAAGGTCAGAAAAACATAAAGATAAAAATTCAAGGGATCCAAATTGGAGAAATCCCATAACAAAATACACTTCAGACAGAGGTGTTCCTTCTGAACGAAATAGTTACAGTAGAATCACGAATGACAGAGACCAAGAAGCACATGCAGATTTGGAAAATAAGCACGGTGACCCCAAAAAGAAGAGAGGAGAGAGCAGAAATTCTTTTTCTGAAAATGAGCACAGACACCGAAATAAGGACAGTGAAACTGTGATAAGAAAAGATAGATCAAGGTCAAGAGAGAAGAACCGAAAACGTTCAGGTTCCGGAAGCGATGAAGACAGGTATCAGAATGGTGCCGAAAGGCGATGGGGAAAATCTAGCAGATACTCCAAACAATCCAGAGAAACAGAGAAACATCAGGACTGGCGAAGAGAAAAGTCTCCAACAAAGCAAAAAAAATGATGCTACACAATGCCAGAAACTGAACATGCCTTATATTCAGTTGAAACAAATTATTTTTTACATTAACGAACTTTATAGAGAATTCTTGTATAAAGTAATGGTTTGTATTTGTACATTTAAAAATTTTTTCATTTTAACATGTTTTATAATTGATACATCTCAAGGCCCTCCACATAAAATTATTTGAAAAGTTTCACCAGAGAGGGATGTAATTCTTGCTTATATTTTGTTAATAAAATGATCAAATGCTCATTGAATCAGTGATTTTTTTCATTGACAAAATTTTTTTTCCTGATAATGTTTCCAACTGTTTATAGAACTATTATAATGAATTATTAGTGGCTTTTTTTTAATAACTAGAGACCAAAATAGATGAACCATTGCAATGTAATATTTTTGCTTTGTTAATGAGATGCTATGAAACTTTTTTAGGAGTCACCCTTTTTATAAAATAAGAATTATTTCCAGTTTCATATAACATCTTGAACAAAATAGGTATGTGTAAGTTTTTTAACAAGTGTTTTGGTGAAGCTAAGGTTATGTTAGTCTTTTAAACAGATACATAGCTATATTATTTAGAATTAGGACTTCTCTCATCAATAACATTTCTTCTCTCTGGACTGCTAGATAAACGTTTAATTGAAATTCTTTGTGATTAGTGCTTTTTCTCAGCCTTGAAGTTATATCATTGTTGGTAAGTTAATGTGTATTTAACTTTTAATTTAGATTAATAGGTCATTGGAAAACATACAGTCATGAGAAATGTGAACAGCCTGTGAAATAATTCCAATTTTTATAAGAATTTTAAAGGTTTCCATCACTGTATCTCTTACCAATTAATATGTGACCATATTATTTATTACTTTTGAAATAAAATATTGCCTCTGAAATTTTAGATTTGCTGACATTTAACCCTACTTACCAAATAGATTGCTTGTGCTTACTCACTTTTAAAGTACTTAAAGTCCATTTTAGCTGATGTCTGGTTTCAAGAATAATGGGACTACCATCTTTAATGTTTGACTTTCAGGCATTTTCTGATTCAGAATGTTTTCTATTTTTGTTCAAAAACTTGAATATAAATAACAATAAAGTCCATATAAATAAATAAATATCCTCTCCTCCTATCCTCCTGCCCCTGCAAAAAAAACAACAAAAAAGTATTAATTGAATATGGCAGCCTGGAAAAATTCTTTTTAGTGTTGTCTCCTACTGTGGTGGTTAGAAGGTGCTGAGTTCTCATTAGAAGGTACTATCATGCATGCAGTGCATTTCACAAAACTATGAAGCTCAGCAAATTGGATTTAAGGAACACATAGGCTATAAGCCCTAAAGGAAAATAAATAGTTTATTTTTGTAACTGAACACTGATCTTTGGGGATGGTAAAAAGGACAAAAACGGGACTAGAAATTTTAGCTTATTTTCTTCACTTTATTTGCTTTTCTAAATGTAGAAATGGGAAATCATTCGATTTACTGAGTCGTTCAGACCTTACAGAGAGTTGTTCAAGTAGATAATTTTTTAAATGTAACAAATATTTATTGAGCTTCTATTATGTGCACAGACCTGTTCTAGGAACTAGAAATAAACCATGAAGAAAACAGAACTCTTACAGGGCTGATACTATGGTAGGGAGATATGGTGGTCATGATATGGGTGGGGTGGTTGGTAATTTTCCATAGGAAGGTCAGAGATCTCTGATAAGGCGATGTTTGCCCAGATTGTTGAAAGAAATAAGGGCTTCAACCCTGTGGACTGCTGTAGGGGGAACCCAGGCAAAAGGAATTGCTAAGGCATAGATGTTTATAACAAATACTGCCTGGAAATTTATGTTAACATTTCCTATTCAGCTACTTGGATTTTTTTTCTCCTCACTATTTTATTTACTTTTAACAAAAGCAGTTAACACCTAACTCCCTTCAAGCAGAAAAGTATTTTGAGTTTAACTGAATCATACAAGGGCACAGTGAATGGGGGCCTGGGGCAGAACTGGACTGTCGGCCTTCATGGTACATTTCTAGCGCCTCAAATGTGATATGCTCACATCCCCCGCCCTGCCATTCAGGCAGGTTTTTCACATTCATCCTTTTAAAATGCAGACAAGAAACATGTTGACTATGTCTGCTATTTCTGACTTTTTACTTCTTAGGATTAGCATTTTTTTGAGGATCAGCTGAGTCCTGTATATTTTGCATGCCATTACTTACTGTTTTTCAGTTTCTCAACTTCTTGCATCCAAGGTTTCTCTATCCCTACTACATCCCTAACCACCTGCACCCATGTCATCCCCTTTATGTTGACTTAAGAATCCACACCATCTCTGAAATCTCTTCTTCCAGCATCACACTTTGAGCACTGCCCATCCCACTCACATGCTCTAGTAATGCTAGTCTAGGAATCCTTTCATCAAAACTTAAGATGTACTGACTTTGTTAAAATTTATCATCGCGCCCCCCCCCCAATTCTTTCACTTGCTTTTAGGAAGAGACTCGGGTTCATATTGGGTAATTTATTACCATTTCATTTGAAAACTATTTGGCTAACTGCACATTTAAGTCTGACTAGGTTTTTATCTGACGTATACCACTTGCTGGCTGTTGACTTTGGGCAGGTCCTTTACTTAGTGTATCCATTTGTGTCCATTTTCTCCTATGAACAGTGGGAGAACGGTTAACTCCCTTAAATAGTGAATGGCCTCTGTGGCATGAACAGGGCCTGGAGCTAAGTGCTCAGTGTGACTGTTTTTATTATTTTTGTCACTAAAGGCTGACATAGTACCACTAGAGCAGGAGTTGTAAACTCGAATACGGGGAAGACAAATGAGACAAATGGGATTGGGGGGTGACGTAAGGGCAGCAGAAGCTACTCAGCTCCATCCAGTTATGTCTATAAAAAGAAGGCCAAAGATTGACAAATCTGCCTGATTCTCAAGAGAATTCAAGAATTAGGATTTTTCCCCTTCTTTTTTTTTTCTTAACATATATTGCATTATTTGTTACAGAGGTACAGATCTGTGATTCAACAGTCTTGCACAATTCACAGTGCTCACCATAGCACATACCCTCCCCAATGTCTATCACCCAGCCACCCCATCCCTCCCACCCCGCACCACTCCAGCAACCCTCAGTTTGTTTCCTGAGATTAAGAAATCGGAGGGGGAGACCAACCATGAGAGACAATGGACTCTGAAAAACAAACAGGGTTCTAGAGGGGAAGGGGGTGGGAGGATGGGTTAGCCTGGTGATGGGTATTAAAGAGGGTACATACTGCATGGAGCACTGGGTGTTATGCACAAACAATGAATCGTGGAACACTACATCAAAAACTAATGATGTAATGTATGGTGATTAACATATTAAAAAATTTTTTAAAAAAAGAATTAGGATTTTTATATAGCTCCTGATTTTTAAATGTTGACGATTTTTTTTCTAGTTATTAAAAGTCCAAACAAAATGATCCCTTCAGGTGAATTAGCTTTTGAATAGCTAGTTTGTGATTCCACTCTAGATCCTCAAAAGCTATTTATCATTTAATCTTGAAATGACAGTTTGTTATCCAAACCTCATCACAGTTTTATTTTCTGCTCTTCATTATAGTGGGAGGATAGTCCTGTCATCTTTCTTAAGAAAACTCATTTACTTTGCTAACTTCAGCAGTCCCTTCTTGCTCTAAAACCGTTGCCAAATGTTAGTTCTTCACTTCATTGGCCTGCTCCTTTATAATCTCATATATCCAAAATACAATTCATTTTTCCTCAGATCCACATCCTTTCTAACTTAACTGCAATTGATTCCACTAATCTCCCATCATTTTTGGGTTCCCCTTTCCCCAAATCACCAAACTTCAGCAGTATCTTTTTTAAAGATTTTTTTAGAGAGAGAGAGGGAGGGAAGGGCAGAGGCAGAGGGAGAGGATCTTCAAGCAGACTCCCTGCTGAGTGCGGAGCCCATTGTGGGCGGGCTCTCAGGACCCATGAGATCATGACCTGAGCCAAAACCAAGAGTCTGACACTTAACCGACTGAGCTACCCAGAACCCCTGGACTTCGACAGTAGTCAGTGCACATCCTCCTGTGTGCCAAGTACTGCTCCAAGGAGAGAGAAAAAGCAAACAGGCCCTGTCTTCAATTGAGCCTAAATGCTTGCAAAGGAAAAACAAAGTTTAAAAAATAAAAACTTACACTTTGAAAAATGTTAGCTATTCAGAAAAACCAAAAAAATAGTGCAGTGACCAGCTATAAACTATCTACCTCGATTCTGATTTCAGGAATCTAAAGCCTTATTTCCATCCTGTCACCTTCTTCTACATGGACGTTCAATGAGTCCTCTAGCCTATAGGATAAATGTAAATTCCCAGCCTGTTACTCTAGTTTCTTTAAAGTTCAAGTTCAACCTGTCCTAATGATTGTTCTAGGAGCTGCCAGCCTTTGAGCACTACTACATTTTAGAATGTTTAGCAGCATCCCTGACCTTAGCTGCTAGATACTAGCTGCTAGATACAATTTTGCCTAGTTGACTACCATAACCATAGCACTTAGGAAATAGTCTTTAGTGGATCTCAATGTAGTGCTTGTTCTGGAAGCATCACTGTGCCCATTCATAGAAAGCTATGTCTATTATACTGCCCTCTTTTTGCAAGGGGAAGATTTGTTTTAAATGACTTTAATATTCAATAGAGTAGTGGACAGCATATATGCCAGTTTTTGTTCAGCAAAATTGTCTGATATTCTAGGGAAGACATTCTGGTTGACATTTTAAGAGGTAAGTTTTCTGCAAATAGAAGCATGATTATTAACCTGTTAATAGGATTGTCTCATATAGGTTCTGGCTTCTCACTGTAGCTGTTTATTATAACCAACACACTTCAGGAATGGCAAATAACGAGCTGTGACTATTGTATTATTTTTTTTTATTTTATTTATTTATTTGACAGAGAGATACACAGCAAGAGAGGGAACACAAGCAGGGGGAGTGGGAGAGGGAGAAGCAGCCTTCCTGCCGAGCAGGGAGCCCAGTGTGGGACTCGATCCCAGGACCCTGGGACCATGGCCTGAGCGGAAGGCAGACGCCCAACCATCTGAGCCACCCAGGCGCCCCTATTGTATTATTTTTAATCCTGTAATAGAGAATTAGATTATCCAATATCCAAACACCTTAATTTTTGATCAAACACTTCAGTGACCATCAAATGGTTGCTGAAGTGAATTTACTAGTCATTTAATCAGTAATTTCATGCACTATAAGACCTAAAAGATTGG